AAAAATTAAATTAATTTAATCCAACATAAAGTACCAGTGTTATGTTATGGTTATGGTTGTATTATACCATTTATTTTATTTAAAAGACTACAATTTCCAATATAGTATGGGCATTGAATCTCATTTTATTTAAAGCAGTTCTACATTTAGCATCGCTCATATTATAAATGTATATGCATTTTGGCGTGAAGAGTAATTTTAAAGAACAATAATTATTATTTTTAGGTAAACGGTAAATATTAGTATATTATATTAAAAAAATGTAGACATGGGTACAGGACAATGTCTGTCGGGTCATCTAGTATGTAATATATATTTATTTATAATATTTTTAGGATTTAGAAGACTTCATATCCCGGGGAGGCGATTCAGGTTTCATTTACGTTTCAATGGGATCTTCGGTTAAGGCTGCCAATATGCCCGATTATCTAAGACGACTGCTGGTAATAATATATAGACAAAAGTTAAAAATTTATTATTGTTATATTATTATTTTTTTGTAGATTCGGACGTTTTCCAAGTTGCCCTACAGAGTTTTGTGGAAATGGGAAGCTGGTTCGTCGATGATGCAGGATTTACCAGAAAATGTCATGCTGGGTAGATGGTTGCCCCAGCAGGACATCTTAGGTTAAATTTAAATGTTACTTATGCACATATATATATATATATATATATATATATATATATATATATATATATATATACGTGTACGTATATATATGTGTATATATAAGGGTGGTCCTTAATATGAACATTTTCGAATTTCCTTGCTCCCAAGGGCTAAAATGGTTCCAAATTGGTAAAAAACAATTCTCTGAAAGTTTTAGCTCTTAATATTAACGTTTAGATAGAGCGCAATTCAATCAAGCGACAAAAGAATGAGTTTTATTCATTCATTTGTTCGCTAAATTACATCTAAAAAACATTTTTTAATTTTTTGAAAATTTTTCCATGCTATTTCCATACAAAACTTTGATTGAATTGCGCTCTATCTAAACGTTAATATTAAGAGCTAAAACTTTCAGAGAATTGTTTTTTATCAATTTGGAACAATTTGAGCCCCTGGGAGCAATGGAATTCGAAAATGTCCATATTAAGGACCACCCTAATATATATATATATATATATATATATATATATATATATATGTATATATAAAGCGAGAGGTTTTTCTTCAAATATGATAAAATTGTTTCTTGGGCATCCATCAGTAATTAAACAGTTTTATTGAAAGAAAATGTTTTTATTCAGAGACGTACGTTTTGGGTCTTGATTTGACCCATCTTCAGTGCTACAATTAAATATTTCAGGGTTACAATTTAAAACAATATAAAAAACACATAATTACAGACAAAAATAAATAAAAACATGTAAAAAAACATAAATCTAACCAATTTAATAAACTTGTTTTAAAACAAATATTTATTGTGAAAGTATATATGTGAAAAACAAACATAAAATAAACAAATGTAAAGAAACTCACCATACAAATAAATTTGAAAACTGGATGGATGCCCAAGAAACAATTTTATCATATGTTTTATATATATATATATATATATATATATATATACACGTATATATATATATATATATATATTAAATGTTAAGTATGAACAATACAACACTCTGATTTTTAACACACACTTTATTTAATATGCCTCATCTTCAGTGTAATTTCAAAAATAGTTACTTAATTACTACACATTCTTTAATATTTTATTTAAATTACATTTAATTTTTGATATACAATTTGAAAACATAAAGTAATTCCTCCTGATTGTTTCTTTATGAGTCTTGACGTTATTAATTTATTTAATACTATTCCGCATCATCTAATTATTACAGATATAAAGAAGAGATAGGTGCAAATAGTTGAATTTACATGTTCACTGATAGAAACTTTTATTTTAGGAATTGAATTACTTTTAAAAGCATCATATTTCACTTTTAATAAAAAATATTATACAATTGAAGAGAGGTTGCCCAATGGGCAGCCCATTAAGTCCTGTTTTAGATTTAGTATTACGAGATTTGGAAAATGATGTTTTAAACTCTCCACCTTCCAAACCATTGGTTTATTTCAGATATGTCGATGACACGTTAGTATTATTTAATAATAAAGATATAAATAATGTATTTCGTATTCGTATTTACAATTCACTCAGGAACTGGAAAATGATTCTTTGTTACATTTTCTTGACGTAAAACTCATTGGAAACCTATGCAGTACAGTGAACGGCTTGTAATGGATAACACATAATGCTAAAATAAGTTTCCATATTTTAGATTTTAAATTTATAACGCACTGATGATGAGACAAACCTAGTCTCGAAACGTTTGTGAAAATTTTTATTTAATAAATTAGTGCAAAAAAGAGTGTTGTTTGTTCATATTTCTAAATTAATATCTATCTATCCACTCAGAATACATTTGTATATATATATATATATATATATATATATATATATATATATATATATATACATATTAGGTTGTCAAATATCTCCCTTCCGCTTTTTTGCTCTTGGTTTATAATACAAAAAGGCGGAAGGGAGATATTTGACAATCTAATATATATATATATATATACATATATATATATATATATATATATTTTATATTTATTTTATTTTTTTCCCAGGTGATAGACGACTGAAGGTCTTTGTCACCCATGGAGGTCTCCTGAGTATGTTTGAGAGTGTCTACCATGGAATTCCTCTGGTTACCATGCCAGTCTTTTGTGACCACGAAGCAAATGCTGCTAAAGCAGAAACAGATGGATATGCCTATAAATTGTCACTGGAAAAATTGACAGCTGAAAGATTATATAGAGCAATAATGAAGGTTAGGAATTGACCAATTGACCAGGAATTCTATTCACTTATCTTTATCTTTTGTAATTTTTGAATGGTGTGTTTTGTGTCAGTATACTTGATTTAGATGAATACTGTCTTTGATTTAGGTTGCCCATGAACCGCAATTCAGGATAGCAGCCCTCAAGAGGCAATATTTGCTGAGGGATCAGAAGGAGACGCCTCTGGAAAGGGCCATTTATTGGACGGAGTACGTTTTGAGACATAAAGGTATAAATAAAACTTGTGATAATTTCTAAAGCTTTTCTTCGATATTTGTCAAATTTATATAAATTTGTTAAAATCAATCAATATTTACAATACAAGTTCCATTTAATTTGAAATTTTATACTTTTATTACTATTATTTTCAGGTGCCTATCACATGCAGTCGCCAAGTCGCCAATTGTACTGGTTCCAATACTACCTATTCGATGTAATTGGCCTGATTTTCATCTCTTTGGCCATATTGGTCTTTTCGGCCAATCTGGTCTTTAAATTCACCTTCAAATATGGTTCGACATTCCAACCGGCCAAAATAAAAGTCCACTAAGTCCAGGAAAGGAAACAAATTTAGTTAGTAATATTAAGTAATAATAGATAATTGATATATATATATATATATATATATATATATATATGTGTGTATATTATATATAAATATGTTTTTTACTATTTAAGTTTTATTGTTGTGATGGCGTGTGTGCGTTTGTAAATAGAGATTAATATTTTTGTATTTGAATAAAATTTGAAATTGCGTGTGCGTTTAAAATAAAACTGTTGTCATTTTTTACTTAAAGGTTAAAGGCGATAAAAATAATGGATAAAATTACAGTTTATTGATTAGTATGTCGTAAAAACCAGTTCTACTCCAAATTTCATTATTTTTGCGTTCATTTATTATATCTCTTGTGAGTTTCAGAGTGTTACTATTAAATATATAAAATATTTGACAAATTTGCAGAAAATTAAATTGTTTATAAAATTGTCTAATATCATAAAACCCTTTACTATAGTCAGAAATCCATATTAAAATGAAATGATCTCTATTTAACCGTGAATTTGCAACTGGTTTATGTATTTATTTAGTATTTCTTGTAACTTTCAAACCATTTGTTCAATATAAATGGGATATTTAGAGAAAACGTATAAAATTAAATTTTTTATATCATTATCTAATATTAGTCTCTACAGTAACTCGGTATATGTACTATAAAATGATTTTTAAAAACCCTGTAATAACCGTCTTGCCTAACAAATTGAAGCCATACTTTTATATTTGTTTTATTTATGAAGCCTATACTATGAAACAATTATTAAAAAACCCTAGTCAGATATAAATTTTTTTTTCATATTAAAATGAAATAATCTAATTTATTTAACCGTGAATTGACTTTGCAACTGGTTTATGTATTTATTTAGTATTTCTTTAAACTTTCAAACCATTCGTCTAATATAAATGGGGTATTTAGAGAAAATGTATAAGATAATTTTTTTTATATTGTCTAATATTAGTTTCTACATTAACTCGGTATACTATTAAATGATTTTTAAAAACCCTAGTCAGATATAAATTTTTTTTTCTATATTAAAATGAAATAATCTAATTTTTTTAACCGTGAATTGACTTTGCAACTGGTTTACGTATTTAATTAGTATTTCTTGTAACTTTCAAAACATTCTTCTAATATAAATGGGGTATTTAGAGAAAATGTATAAGATTAATTTTTTTATATTGTCTAATATTAGTTTCTACAGTAACTCGGTATACTATGAAATGATTTTCAAAAACCCTAGTCAAATATAAGCAATTTTTTGAATGATCATTTTTTTGTTGGTGCATTTATTTATAATATCTCTTGTAACTTCTAAAGAGTTTGTGAAAATTATATACATTATTTTGCAAATTTGTTCAAAATTAAATAATCTACAATCTTTTCTAACATCATAATTACCTACAGAAACTCCGAATTATTATAAATAATATAATTGACCTAACTTGTTATACAATTTGTCATATTCATTTATAATAGTTCTCAAAATTTAAATTTAAAATTGGCGCCTAAGTGTCTATGGCGTCAAAGTTTCTATGGCGCCATCTACAACTCTGCAGTGTCTCATCCTCATTAAACATATCTATGGTCTTGTCACAACGTGTTCTAAGATTTTTAGTTCTTTTTACTTTCGGACTTTGTTGGAAAAACATGGCTAAAAGGAGGATTCTATCATTAGGTGAGTACTTTAGAAATAATTTATGTTAGTTTAATATTTTATTCTAAAAATACTTCGCGTTCGGCGACTCCAAAAGTGAAATGCGGATTTTGCAAACTTTGCTCAAGTTATCAACGCGTTCCCTGGGGCATTGTGTATAAGTTTTAAAGTAATAATCGAATGGCATGTTAAAATGCATTCGTTTATTGTACGCTAAAGATTCATTTCAAATATTGATTAAATTTTTTGCACTCTAGTTTGTTGGTTATTAGTTGCGTATAGTTAGGTTAGGTTAGTCCGTAAACAAGTCTTAAATGCTTGTAAGGTGATTTCATTGATGCATCCAAAGGTTTTTTTTGGCAGTGACTATATATTTTTTTTAATGATGTAATTTTTTAGTTTGAATTCTATTCGACCCTAATCTATTAACTTTGCACTGCACTTTGATGAAATAATTTAGATCGTCAGTAGTTTTTTTTCATCTTCATTTTTTAATTTTGATCGTCAGTAGAGTCCTTTTTATGTTGATTTATTGATTTTCAGTCCCTTTTTCTTATTCGTTTAGTTTGCTCGTCAGTAGAGTTCCTTTCACTTTTAAATCAATTTGTATGAATTGATCGTCAGTAGAGTCCCTTTTCAAATTGATTTATCAAGTTTGCCCGTCAGTAGAGTCCCTTTTTAAACGGATATATCTATCTAGTTTGCTCGTCAGTAGGATCTATTTCCATCTAAGATGTATTTAGTCCTTTCTTATCCTAAGATATTTCGTTTGCTCGTTAGTAGAGTCCCTTTTGCTCTGATTTGTTTGGTCTGCTTGTTAGTAGAGTCCTTTTTTTGAAGAATTTATCTAGTTTGCTCGTCAGTAGAGTCCCTTTCTAATATTTTTTTAATTTGCTTGTCACTAGTGTCCTTTTTTATTTACTTAATTTTCTTGTAACTATATAAATTTCTTACATTTATATAGTTTGATTGTCAGTAGAGTCCCTTTTTGCTCTGATTTATTTGTTCTCCTCGTCAGTGGATTTCCTTTTCAAATGGATTTATCTAGTTTGCTCGTCAGTAGAATTTCTTTTAATCTAAGACTTATTTAGTTTTTTCTTATATCAAAATATTTAGTTTGCTCGTCAGTAGAGTCCCTTATTGTGACATATTATTCTATTAATCAGTAGAGTCCCTTTTAAATGGATTCATCTAGTTTGCTAGTTAGCTTTTAAAATGGATTTTTCTATTCTTCTTGATTCATTAATTTTGATCGTCAGTAGAGTCTTTTATCTTGAATTATTGATTTTTAGTGCCTTTTTCGGATTTGTTTAGTTTGCTCGCCCGTAGAGTCCCTTTTTTTGTCTTTTATTTCGTCTTATGTCTTTTATTCAGCTATTCGTGAATAATTGAAATTATTGCATTCTTCAAATCGAGCATCAGTTATTTGTTATTTGTACTATTAGTATGTATGTATGTAAAACATATCAAGGTTCGGTCACATTGAAGGACTATATATTTTTAATTTAAAATAAAGGTACGTGTAGCATTTTATTTTAGATAAAGTTACTTAAAAACTAATTCTACTCATTTTAACTTTTAGTTTTGCATTAAAACAGAAGTTTTAACAAATGCTGTTCCAATATCAAGTAATCTTCTATCATCTTAAGAAGAAATAGGTCATTACGAATTCATTTTTGACTTGGCACTACAGAAAAAGCGTTTATTTTTTGTGAAACAAATCGAATCAGAAGACACAAACCATTAATGGAATATTGGAAATATTTGTATAAAACTATGTCAATTATACTTTAGATTTCAGTATGTAGGTTCTATATTAATACTTTATTTAAATTTAGGCCAGCAGTCCTTAAGAGACAATATTTACTGAGGAATCACGAAGAGACTTCTGCGAAGGAAAGATTTTTTTTTTGGACGAATTACTTTTTTGGAACATGAAGGTACGAAGGTCCTTTCATTCATTATTATAGTATTTATATATTTTAATATTAAGTCCACTTCTTATTCATTCATTTGTTCAATTATTTTAATAACTTTTAATTTATTTATTTAATAAATAATTTATTTAATAAATTTTAATATTTTTTAGCTAATTTGTTTTGATTATTTAACTAAAAAAATTTTTTTAATTAATTCAATCCTGCATTTTGTTACTTGTTTTAAATATATATTAAATTCTTTATTTAATCAATTATATTTTTGTTTTTACTTTTCTTTTTTATTTAAATTCATATTTATTTATTTACTCATTTGTTATTTTCTTTGTTTTTTCAATAAATTGTTTCTTATTTATTCATATATTCATTTAGTTACTATTATAATTATTCGTTTATTTATAAATTCACTTATCATTTATTTATTCATCTTTGTGAATTTATTTTAATTTTTATTCATTTAGTGAATAATCTAGTTTTTTTATATATAGTAAATAATTTAGTATCATAATTTATTTATTCATTTATCATTTATTTATTTTAGGTTTTTTTTATTTCAAGTATTTATTCATTTATTTTAAGTATTCATTCATTTATATATTTTATCATATTTAATTCAATTTAATTTAATTTTCATTATTACTTTGTCTTTTTTTAATTATGCATTTATTCAATTGATTTATTTATTAAATATTCAATACTGGTATTGCTAATATATTAATTTTTGAATTAAGATTTTTAATTTACTTCGTTTTTACTTTTCTTTTATTTAAATTCATATTTATTTATTTATTCATTCGTTATTTTATTTCTTTGTTTTTTCAATAAATTGTTTCTTATTTATTCATATATTCATTTAGTTACTATTATAATTATTCGTTTATTTATAAATTCATTTATCATTTATTTATTCATTTATTTTGATATCCATTTTATTAGTTTTTATTCATTTGTTTCATATCTTTATTTATCTGTGTGGCTTATTCGCACACATTTATTATGCTTTCTTTTTGCTTGTCTATATATATATATATATATATATATATATATATATATATATATATATATATATATATTATTGATTGTTTCTTTTCTGAACAGTAAATCCAATAATAAAAAGGAACAGTTTTATATTCTTTTAAAGAAATGTTTTCGAAAATTAAATCCACCACCCCTCCTAAATTTAATACTAACATAGTTTATTCCATCTCTTGCAAAAATTGTCAAAAACAATACATTAGCCAAACATCACAATACATTCATAATAGAATGAGACAACATGAATTAAGTATCACTCATCATAAAAGCCGAAGTTTCCAAAGCAATCTTGTCCAACATTCCATTGAAAATTCACATAATTTTACCTTTGAACCGAATATTTCATATAGAGAGGATTGTACTTTTAAAAGACTTTTTTCTGAAAGCAGTTTAATCTTTTTGAATTCATCAAATTGTGTTAATAAAAGATCAGATCATAATATCATTCATGATTTGTATCTAAATTTTTTAAACCTGATTAAAAACAATTTATCCTAATAATATTTCAATATGTATATATACGTGGTCTGTTCAAAAAGTACCGGGAATTACTAATAATTAAATTTCGCGGGTCTGGAGTGTCTGATTGTCAAAATTTTTTTTTTATTGTGTTGGTATACATGCCCCTAAAGTATGATGAAATTTTCAGCTATATTCACTGTTTACTTTGTCTGTGGTAGTCGCTAAGGTTCGACGTGTTTTTCTGAGCTCGGCGATTTTTACAATGGAAGAATTGAAAAGTCAAAGAATTTGTATTAAATTTTGCGTAAAAAATGAAATAAAGTGTTGCAAAGTGCAAAAATTCACCAGATATGGCTCCGTGTGACTTTTTCCTATTCCCAAAGTTGAAGGACCCATGAAAGGACGGCGGTTTTCCTCGATTGAAGAAAATCGCTGAGAGTGCTCAAGGACATATCAAAAAGTGAATATCAAGGGTGCTTCGAAAATTGGAAAAAACGCTGGCATAAGTGTATTATATCTGGGGGGGACTACTTTGAAGGGGACCACATTAATGTAGACGAATAAATAAATATTTTATATTTATATACGAAAATTCCGGGTACTTTTTGAACGGACCACGTATACATGTATATGTGTTATTATATATGCACATCCTTATATGTGCTTATATGTATGTTTTTGTATATACACTATATACATGTACTTGCGTATATATTCATGTATATAATTGTAGATACATTAATATATAGATATGTGCATATGTATGTATGTGTATGTAGGTATGCATATGTATGTGCATGTATATATACATAATATTTCTCAACATTTGCTAAAGCAATACTTTCCTTTTTTCATAAATTACCAATACAAGAGGCATAAAAAATGATTTTTGCCTAAATTCCGTACATATCCCTTACATCTGACCGACAGAACTCCGTATCAGTGTGTTTTAGTTTGTGAAGTCGTAACATCTACAAATATCCTCGTGAAAAAATTCGAGTGTTTTTAACAAAAAATATTAGTGATATGGATATATAAATTATTACAAGTAAATAATTTTTGCTTCTCAATTTTATATAAAACCTTTTTAGTGAATTTTTATTACTTTTTACACTGGTACATAATCCATTCCTTTATAATTTTTCTAAATAATCTGTAATGACCATCATTAATTAATGTTAATCAATAGTTTTAAAAAAACATTGTCTTTGACAGAATAAACCTGATGATGGAACGTATCTAGTTCCGAAACGTCGTTATTAAACATCTTCAAAAAACAAATTGTTTTATTAACTTCCCGTAGGGTAAGTTATTGTAATGGGCCGAAAATCGGAATTGAAAATTTTACATTTCTCGACGTTTTGAAGGTTTCTGAACGTTTTGGCATACCTCAGAAAAAATGGATGTGTGTGTGTGTGTATGTATGTGTGGATACAAATTTCCAGTCACGTTTTAGGGCGCACGGATCAACCGATTTGAATGGTTCAAAAAACATTCGATTCCTATTGATAGGGAAAAGAGCTGATTAGTTTTTGGCAAAGGCAGGTCCAGCCGTTTCGGAGATACGGAGCGAAGAGTGCAGAAAATAGAAATCGAATTTTTGAGAGAACGGAGTATCCGATTTGAATGATCTAAAAAACATTCAATTAGTAATGATTGGGAGAAGTGTTTATTAGTTTTTGGCAAAGACAGGCCCAGCCATTTTGAAGATACGGAGCTAAATATGTAAAAAATGGCAGTTTTTGAGAGAACTAAGCGTCCGATTTAAATGATTCAAAAGAACTTTCTGCTTGTCTTAACAAAATAATCGATTTTGGAAAAAAAAAATTGTCCTTTTTTTTTTTTTTTTTATTTTTGTGTTATCGAAAATATTTTTATTTTTAATTTCTGACTATAGTTCTAATTACTTTACATGTTCATTTCAATTTCAAGTCTGCAATTCATTTTTATATATTTATAAATATTAGACAATGTTACAATATTTATAATAATCTATTTGAAAACATTCAGTAATCCTCAAACATTTCATTACGGTACGGGAAGTTCCAGCAATTTGCCTTAAGGCACGATGCCACCCACCCCACTAGTTATTATTGGATGTACTGTTCGGAAAAGAAACAATCAATATATTGAAAAAATCCAGGACTTATCTATTGAATATATATATATATATATATATTATATATATATATATATTATACCAGCACATTTAGAAAAAATATTGTAAATTATCAATAAAGCTGATTTCTTTTATATGATATTTACATAACTAAAACTATGTTTAATTTTTCAGAAGGAACTTTTGATGGAATGCGAGTACTTAGTAGCTGAAAATAATATTTGCATATGTTGAACAAGTCTCAAACACAAATGGGCATGAACACGAAGAAATAGTTATCGTACAAGGAGCAGTCTTTTCTTCATTTATAGTAATAATTATAATAAAAATATAATGTATTCTTGCATATTTTCTATTTAAGTTTAATATGACATATTAATATATTACTTACTAAGTTTAATATGACATATTAATGCTACTACTTGTATAAAAGATTTTTAAATTGCAAAGCTGTTTATTGCATCACAAACCTTGATGATTATGTGAAATTGATTCTCACATTTAAATCAACAAATACAACGAATGTATTTAAAACGTTTTCATCAAAGTACATAATTTCTTTGTTGAAATAAAGCAGCATTAAATTGGATAAGTCTCTAATGTGAATGTGTACAGTAATTTGAGTATCATTGCATCTTTTTACTAAAGAAACAATTCTTTTGTATACATTGTATTACAAACGTCGGATATTGAAGTTTATTTTATTTTAAGTCATAATCCTAATCTTATTTTGGCTTAGCCTTTCTGTTATTCTTACGATTCACTTATTAAGAATTAACACATGAAGAAGGGACATATTTTAGGCGAAAGCTAAGGTTATTTGATAATTAATATGTACACTTTGGAGAAAATTATATTAGTTATGATACAAAATAGAAACACTTTGAATATAATTTATAACTAATTCAAGTATGGTATAAGTGTAAATTTTCTGACATAAAAAATAACTAGTTGTCATATTGCCTTGAGGAAAGTTGCATTAACTTTCCTTGAAAATAATCAGCTGAATCAATAAGAAATAATTACTATTATTTTACAAAATATGTATTAGATACAAAATAACAACACTTTAAAATATTTAACTAAATCAAGTATTGTATAAGTGTAAGTAACATAGACATAAAAATTAACTAGTCATATTGCCTTAAGGCAAGTTGCATGAACTTTCCTTGAATGTGGAATTGATCGGCTGAATCAAGAATGCATAATATATATATATATATATATATATATATATATATATATATATATATATATATATATGAGTGAGTTCTTGAGGGTGATACATCAAACAAAGAAAAGGCAAAGATTTATAAAATAATATTTAATTCCAAACGTTTTGACATTCAATTTAATGTCATCATCAGTGGATCTAAAAACAGTATAAAAATTAATATAACTATTCATTATAAAATATATGAATTGGTATAAAAGCTATAGATATAAGAAAAAATTTTAACAGAACAGCAACAATACATACAAATACATATATATATGTATATGCATGTGTATATATTTATATATATTCTTTTTTCTTCTTTATTTATTTAATATCTAGTTTCTATTACCTTTTCTATCTTTTATATTCTGTTTGTTGTTAAGTGTTGGTGTTCTGTTAAAATTTTTTCTTATATCTATAGCTTTTGTACCAATCCACATATTTTATAATGAATAGTTATATTAATTTTTATACTGTTTTTAGATCCACTGATGATGACATTAAATTGAATGTCGAAACGTTTGGAAATAAAGATTATTTTATAAATCTTTGGCTTTTCTTTGTTTGATGTATCGCCCTCAAGAACTCACTATATATATATATATATATATATTATATATATATATATACACCTAAGTCTGTTTTTACACGGTCTTTTGTACACAGTTTTGATATAACACGGTTTGAAAATTGAATATTTTAATTTTTTTACACGATTTTACTCCATTTAGCACGATTTGAAATTTATGTACTTTAATTGTTTTTTGTCAAATTTAATTTTGCGAAGTATGTTCATATCACAAAAAAATATTTATGAAAAAAAGTCTGAAAACCATCGATAGTATCGATAGTTTGCAAACACTAGCTTAAAGATTTAAGTGAATTCTCCTTTACCTATTCTTTTCGTTCACAACATAGTTTTTTAGTTCCTGAACTTGCCATACATTTACTTTTAAGATTAGAGTGCATATCTTTATCATTAATTACTATGCTTGTGAAAATAAGCATTATATATTTGATTTAATAAAATAAACATAAATTTTTGTTCTTAAAAATTCTTGTTTTTCACCAATTTCAATAGGCTTTAGAGATTATAGGAACAAATAACCCATTTTTGAATAAGATCAATGTCTTTTTTTACACGTTTTTTTTTTACACGGCTTCTTCTGAAACCAATCTACCGTGTAAAAAAACACTTAGGTGTTGTAGGTGTATATATATAATATATATATATATATATATATATATATATATATATATATAATATATATAAAGCAATGATGACAGAAACATTTTATTCAATTCAAACAAAGAATACAAATAATTTAAATATTATTAATTACTTAAACAAAAAGCGAATTTAACCAAAAATTAATCAGTTCGATGTATTTTTATAAATAAAATACCCCATAAAATCAATTTTACAATATATATTTATTAAAAATATATACAATACAATATATATTTTTATTATTTGTATTAAATCAAAGTGGCGTTTGATTTTATTGCATTTTTAGTCTGTAGTTTCAGTGACTGCGGTTTTTTATATCCACATTTTATTACAAGTAATTAAAATATATTATTATATATTGTTAAAAACTTAATAAAATAGTCTATTAATCTGACTTTACAAACAAAATTAAATAATGAAATTTTGTGAAATTTAGTTAGGTGTGCAAAAAGTAGATACTGAGAATATTATATTGCAAAGTCTAAACAATATTTTATATAACAAATTGTATTCTATCAGTCAAAAAAGCATTTTTGTGGACTAATATGTAATAACATATTAAAATTTTATCAATTACTTTAGATAAATAACGCAAATTTGACAAAGAGTTCCTTTATATGTCGATTGAAATATAAAAATAATTATAATATGATTTTACGTTGCAGTTTGCCGACAGACAGAAGCCCAGACAACATAATAGTGGCGCAGGTTCTTTCGGAAGCCGATCGGCCATTATGCAATACTGCGTAGAAGAGAGGGACAACTATATCATGTGCGAGTGCGCGCGAGTACTATTGCGCACTCTGTTCCACGCGTAGGAGTTAATGCGCAAGACAGGGACAAAAATATAGGCCATGCCTCGAGTGGGGATAGGCCACGCCTATTCCCTGTCGAGCGGCACTTGGCCTGCGAGAGAAATTCATTTTAATTTCGACTACGGCGGCGGACAGAAGACTCTCGGTGACCGGCTTGTTGCGTAAGTTCGCCATGTTTCGAATTGAATTCACTTTAGTTAGTTGCAATCGTTGTCTTTGTTCGGAAATACCGTGATAATTTTATAATTAATTCCAAGTGTTAGTAATTGTGTTCTTTATCCGTCTTTTAATTTTTAATTTCTTAAATTTCGGTATGTAGTTCAGTGAGTGAATTGAATTGTGTATCGAATCTGCGATTCCGATAACCGATTACGTTTAGTACATATTGAGGTAACTATGAATTTATATCGAAATGCAATATTTTAAACAATAAAATCGTTTCACGCCTATCTAATGATAATGATTTCTATTGCAGTTACAACAATTTGGTAGTCCAGACGAGATGTTGCAGTCCATTTCACAGGAGAAATTAAAATTCATCAGTCTAATTTACATGAGGAATTGAACCTGATGCAGTCTGCAGTTTACAGGAGAAAAGGTCAGTGGTACATATTTCTTGTATTAATTTCAAGGTTTTCAAGTTGATTTCGTGGGTACCGAATTTTCCGTAATACGTAGAACTTGTAGGTTTATTTTCAGTTTTGATCATTTTGGCTTTTTTTTTATACGCAATGAATTAATTGCGTGTACGCAGTTACTGCGGCTTCCGAGTACATTTTGATTTATATATCACTAGAATTTCTGAAATATTTGAAATCATCCATTTTAACTTTCAATTATTAGTTTAGGCTTTTCATTATACAAAATGAATTGATTGCGTGTACGCACTAGAATTTTCTGTAATATTTGAAATCATCCATTTTAACTTTAAAATATTAGTTTAGGCTTTCATTATACAAAATGAATTGATTGCGTGTACGCACTAGAATTTTTGAA